AAACCTGAAGTCCTGTAAGTCCGTGCCTAGCACTCAGCAAGCACCGTGAGGTGTGAGCGCTGAAGGCCGTGGCAGCCCCAGCCCTAGGGCGTTACCCGGTTCCCGACCTCAGGGCTCGCCTTGGTGTGGCTTCCCTCCACAGCCTCTGTCAGTGCCTGGCATCTCCAGCCCCCTGATGTGGCGCTGCACTTTGTTCCGCTGCCGCAGTTGCACGCGCTGCCCTGTGCAGGGTGCATTCCTCGGCCGCCAGGCCCCGCCACTGGCGCAGTCTCTTGGCAGCTGCCTGGGAGCAGCTCCCCACTCCGTGCTGTTCCCTTGTCAGTTTGAGTTGCTGTTGGTCTGCGGTGCAGGGAGTTTTTTGTTCTTTTATATGTAATTAACTATTCCCAGCATATTTTTTGGTATAATTTCTCTACTGTCTTTTTTAAAGTCTTGTCCAAAATAAATTGACCATAGGTAATGAAAATTTGTAAAAATTTCAGTTCCCATTCCATTGATTCGTGTGTGTGGCCTGTTATTCCCGTGCCACCCTGGGGTGATGTGTTATGTTAAGTTTTGAAGCCGAAGTATGAACCTTCCTGCTTTATGTTTTGTCTCGTTAAAATCAGTTAACTAGTTAGTGCCCTTTGTAACATCACGTGAATTTTGGAGTCAGCGCAACAGCTCCTGCAGAAGGTTAGCTGGGATTCTGACAGGGATTATGCTGAATCTCTGTGGCAGTCTGAAGCACACCTTCTCAGCATTGATTTCTCCAGCTCACAATGTGAGGTATTTTCCATTTACCTGGGCCTTTTTTACTTTCTTATGGCTATGTTTTATAGTTTTCAAAGTAGATAATTTTACATATTTTGATAAATTAATTCCTAAATTTTTTGCTACTTTTAAACTTACTGTGAATGGAATGTCTTAAATTTCATTTCAGATTCTTCATTACAAAATGTATTACTGATCTTCGTTTCTTGCAGCCTTTCTGAACTTAGTAGTTGTACAGTAGATTCCTTCCATTTTATTACATAGGATTGTGCCATTTGCCAATAAAATGGTCTTGCCATTTGCTCTCTGTCTGGGTGCCTTCTGTCCCATTCTCTTGCCCAGCTCCACGACCAGCCCTGGAGCTCTGTGCTAAGCAGGGCAGGAGTGAAGCTTCCTGCGTATCTCTGACCTTCAGGAGCGCACAGCTTTTCATGCTCAGGTGCGCTGTGAACTGCAGCGAGGGCTTTATGCAGGGAACGGCTTGCTCCTTCTGGTCGCTGTACTGTGCTGTGTCGCTTCCGTGTCAGTGCTGCTTATCCTCGCAGCCGTCCTTGGTGAGGCTCTGCAGGGGCGCCCTAGAGGTGGGCTGCGCAGGCTGTACCCGCCAGCACAAGTGGAGTGAGGGCTGCTGCTTGCCCTGTGTTGTGGAACATCCCTGCCACCTGTACATGTTATAAGCTAAAGGAAATTAGCAGCCGCTAGTCGTAAGTCTGCAAAGAAGCTAAGGCTACGAAGCGAATCCCACCATCGTCCCAGCGATTGCAGCCCAGCTCTTCCACCCGGTGTGGTGTGGGTAGCAAGCAGCAGGCTTGCTAGCCCCGCAGCCAGCCCCAGCCCGTCCTCAGCCCCTGCCTCTTCTCAGCCTTGTGCAGTGGCCCAGGTGACTGTGGCCCCTTACGGCATGAGCCTTTTGGAAGTGCCACAGCTATACGACATTTTGTTCATTATGTGGTGATTCAGAAGGTGGGAAAGTCTGAATGCTTATTCCTTTCATGACTTTTGATGGACTCATTTTAAAGATTATTTATATTTATGAGTGCTATATAAAGTCTTACTTTTTGCTCAAGTTATAAAAGGAACAGTAATTTGATTCCAAAACTCTTGGGAATAATAAAGTTCCAAATGAGAGTTTCCCAGTGATAAAAAGGACTACCTTAGTAGCAAACCCTCCCAATCTAACTACTAGTAGGCAGGCATTAGCTACTCAAACACATTGAGAAGAGAAAATATCATATGCGAACTACAGTTTTAAAAAAATTTTAGGCTGTCCTATTAAGACCTGTCTGATTAAGTCCCATTAATCTGGAGAACGAAATAAACGAGTATTTATCCAAAGCCAGACAAAAACTTGACTCTGCTGCCACCTAGAGGCAGTTGTCTCATATGCAACCTGGTTGTAAACTCCGGAGAGCTGCCTCCAAAGATGCAGGACCCAGAGAGAAGACGAGCATTCTTGGCATATTTGTGTATGGTTTTCCGTGGAGTCGTGCATCCCCCAGTGGTTGCTTAACGTGTGCTGTGAGTTTAAGACGTTTTGTCTGCTACTAAATGATTCTCTATCCTGCTAAAAGACGCCACGGATTTATTTTACTCTTGATTGAAGTTGCTTCGTCATACAGTGCTGAGGATGGAGGGAAATCTGAATAGAAATGGAGGCGCTGGAATCACTTCTACAAACCAGCCTAACAATTTAACAGCAAGGCTCTGGAAGAAGAGCGCTTTCCAGCAGTCTGGGTCGCAGCGCTGCTGGGAGAGATAGTCTGGAGCCTCAGGGCTGCAGCGAGCTCCCTCCGGGAGCGCAGCTCTGGGAGGCCCGCGGCGTGCAGCAGAGCCCAGGTTGTCGCCGCGTCTGTCGCTTAGGAGCGGAGCAGCAGGCTCGCGCAGAACACTTCCAGGACATGATAAACGCTGTGGCCTAGGGGCTTGACTGAGCATTTGGTAACTTTTTAGATAATGTTCAGGTTAAAGTCTAAGTTATTTCCTGTTTCTGAAACATCCGAGGTGCTTTTCAAACGTCTGGACAGTCAGTATAGGGAATTAGTTGGTCTGTAGAAAAATTCGACACAGACATTCTGAAATTTTCTTCCTTATAAGTTGTATTAACATTTATGCCTACCAAGATTTTCAAATACCATCCGCTCCAAGTAGCATCCACTTTATAACAAGACAGTTTAATTGTTCAGTAATTTCAAATGCTGAGTCATGAAACAGTACTCCACTAACAACTTCATAAGCGCACTGTTATTCAGAGGACTAATGCTGTTTGCTTCGCAAGTATTTCCTTATTTTATCTCTGAAAGTTCCAGATTCAAAGTCTAATTAAAATAATAGTTTTAATCCTATTTTAAGCTCCAGTTTGGTTTACTCCAGTCAGGTTCCATAAGGTAGACTGTATGTGTTATTGGGTAATTTGTCAAGTATGTTTTAATACCACTTTTAACATACTCTATTGAATATTTCCTTTTGAGAGTAATTATAAGTTGATGTAATTTTTTTTTTTTTTTGCGGAACCAGGGATTGAATTCAGGCCCTTGCGCTTGCCAGGGAAGCGCTTATTCCACTGAGCCATCTCCCCGGCCCCAGTTGATGTAAAATTGAGGTTATAAAAGTATTCTAAAATTGGCAAGTAATATTTTTTGTCAAGGTATCAAATTGTTTCTTTTTGAACTGATGAACAAGAAGAAAAATCCTTGAACTACAGCAGCATAACAATTGGAAAGATTCGCTGTTCACATGAACACAGCTTTGTATGAAACTGATTTGTTAATAGGAAGACAAGCACCGGGCATTCCTCTCAGTAGATCTAGTGCTGATTTATTGAAAAATCCCAGCACCCACACTGGTCTCCCCCGCACACAGGAAGTGGTGGGACCCTGTGTACGTGTGACCATGATTTCATATTGTATTTCTTTCTTGGTTAAAATAATTAAGTGGTAGACATATTAGACTGTAGGGGGATTAAATTAGTGCATGAATCTATGGAGTAAAATCCCAATGAATTACATTTAACAAATAAAAATCTTTTATAGATGTAACTTATTTCATAAAGCATACCATGTGCTCTATAATGCCCCCAGACACTTTATAGGTAAGAATATAAGTAGAAATGAATTTGATACTAAAAGGCTGTTGGGGCCGGGGAGATGGCTCAGTGGATTAAACGCTTCCCTGGCAAGCGCAAAGGCCTGAGTTCAATCCCCGCTTCCGCCAAAAAAAAAAAAAAAAAAAAAAGAAAAACAAAGGCTGTTGTGGGTGATTTCTTTGTCTTCTGAAAAAGCTTTATTTTAATTCTTTTAGCAAAGACCTGTGTCAGAGATCATGGTGTATGTATGTTTTTGCTTGCTGAACTCTTATTTTGAGTTCTTGCTAGAATGTTCTTTATTTAATACCAAATACTGGACTGGGGAGATAGCTCAGTAGAATAAGTGTTTGCCTGGCAAGGCAGGGTCCTGAGTTCAATCCCCAGTACTGAAAAAAAAAAAAAAACAAAAAACCTCATTTAATACCAGATACTGCCATCTTGTGGTACTTTTGTTATTTCCTCTGGCCACATTTTTTCTTCCTTCTCTTGGGTGTTTTTAAGTTGTTACTTAGTGGCCTCGTCTTGCATGTACCTGCAGTAGTCACTAGTGGGTTTTGTTAGCAGCGCTTCCCCAGTAGGTCCTGGTCTTTATCCTGTGCCGTGCTCTGTTGTACCTATCTCTTTAATGCATTTCAGTAGGTGAGTATGGCAGTTGTTCGTGACATACTTAAAGAATGAAGTCACTGCCTTCCAAAAGGGAAATAAAATGTAGTGATGCCGTTGTTTTCTATGCGTAATTTTGTCATCTGCCTTGCTAGGCGAAAAGTTGGCAACTTTTTAGTTTAAGGAAATAAAATCAAATGTATTGTGTTCAGTATTTTACATTTAAGGATGATTTTTTTTTAATTTTATTTTGTATTTTAAGGGTCTATAGGGTGTTCAGGGTCTCACTACTAGATCGACTCATAGTGATCCGCCTGTTTACAGCCTCCCAAGAGCTGGGATTACAGGGGTGCGCCTCCATGCCCAGTCACAATTGGCATCTCAGCGCACCCAGAGGCAGGGGTGGGGGGCAGCATGACTGGCTCAGGGATTGAATATCGGCCCCTGCTCCTGCTTGCAGGTGCTTAAATCCACTGAGCTATTTGGCCGGCCCCTTGGATGATCTTTATCAGGAAAAAAAAAGAACTTAATCTCATGATTTTTTCTCTCCTTGTCCTTGCAGCTCTTGTCATTCCTTCAGGGTTTATTTACTTTCTACCACGAAGGCTATGAGCTGGCCCAGGAGTTTGCCCCGTATAAGCAACAGCTCCAGTTCAACCTGCAGAATGTAAGAGTCCGCCTGTTTCTACTGCCTTTGCTCAGGGAAGCTGCAGGCCACAGGACAGCATAGTCATAATCAGTCAGGCCGCAGACTGTCTCACCAGCTTGTCAAAGTATGGTAAAAAACCTGGGTAACTTAGAAAAGCTACTTAACAAATATATTTTTTCCAGATGCTATCTGCAAGTAAGCTCCAAAACCAGAAGCTAAGCGTATGTTAGAGCAGTTTGTTCTAGCAGATTGTGTATTGCCTACATGTGGCCAACTAGAAATTTGGACATGCTTGCCCTTCTCCAGTCTTTTCATTAATTTACTGGGTGCTGCCAGGGTGCATACATTCTAGATGTCTGCTGTGCAGGTGACTACAGTTAATAGCACTACATTATATGCTTTGAAACTGAAAATTTACTAAGAGTGTAGAACTAAATGTGCTACACACACACACACACACACACACACACACACACACACACTGTGCATCAGCGCCATTCCTATTGCTGGGACTGACACCCACACTTAAAGGAAGAGTGTATTTGACTCATAGTCCCCAGTGGGCTCATCCCAAGGTTACCTGCCTCCAGTAGAGGTAGGGCTTGGTAGAACGGCCTAGAGGAGGACATCTCCTCATCCTGTGGCAGCCAGAAGGCTCGAGCAGGAGCCGGCCTGCATAAGGACTGGCCATTCCGGTCAGGGTGTGGGGACCCGCCGACTCTGCCCAGGCCCCAGCCCTAACAGCACAGTTAGTTGCCATGCAAGCATAGCGCCTCTGGGTCCACACACGAGTCTCTGGGGACACATTTAAGGTCTAATCACAACATACATGCAAATATGGTAATGGATGTGCTGATTGTCTCAATTCTTGGAGCCATTTCACAATGTATACATAGAGCAAAACATCATGTTGTATGCCCTGACTACATATAACTTGTAGTTTTCAATTATACTTCAGAACTGGAAAAAAAAATCATTAGCCCAAGACAAGTCTTATTTGTTGAGAGAATAACATATCTACAATTGTTAAATGATGGAAGTACAGCATAATGCTGTAAGGTACCGTGTCTTTCTGAAATTTTTTATAAAGTATGTATTTACTATCAAATAATTGGGTTTGAGCATGGTTTTGAAGCATTCAAAATAGCTGCTTTAAACCTTAACTGGGAATTTTTTTCCAAACAACATTTCTGTCTTATCTATCAGGTTTATTTTGTAAAGTTATCTAATCAGTCATTTCAATTGCTGATTCCATGGTTTAGCAGTCTCTTAATTTTCAGTAAAGATCCACATGTCCATCATAGGGGAAAATATTTTGGGCCATTTAAAGCCTGGCAAAGAAAAATTTTAATTCCTGCCTTTTTTTTTCTTCTGTGATTGAAACCCTGAGTACATAATAACCAAAATAATGTAGGAAGCCTTCACTTAATTTTCTTAAATATCATGGTTTATCAGATTCATTGTAGAGATATTCAGTAAATAAAACTATAATGTATTTGGATTTATTCTACTTGAATGTGGAGTTTTAAAATAAGTTTAATATGGCTTTACTTTTCATACCTCGTTATTAAAATACTTTTCTGCTGGATGGTTAAGACCAAGATAAGGCAAGACCTCTATAACAAAAAATGTAACTTTTGTATCTGACAAAGTCAGTCAAATTCCTTCAGGATTTACCCTGAAACCCTGTACAGCAGTTTGTAGGTCCTTTGTCAGTGTCAGCCATGTGGATGAGTCACAGCCATTGCTTGACCAGTTTGCTCTCTGTGAAAGCCTGAGAGAATGTGTTCTCTCCATGTGACTCTCCTTAGGCACACTCTACATTGTCGATCACTATTTCCTGTAGCCCCATAATCTCCTTGATCAGAAAATTTGGGACATCACTGAGTTACAGGATGCTGCAGTACAGGTTCTCTTATATCTTGAGTCCTCATTGACCGTGAAGGGCTAGGGCCAAAATGTTGCCTGTTTTTACAGCCCTTCTTTTCTCTAATTTTTGGTCTGCAAACTTAAGTTGTTAACCCTCCAGAAGAGAAGCGTAATGATATTATTACCCTATAACATAGGCAGTTGAGCTTGACCTCACTGTCTGTCTGAATATCAAACATCTTAGACATAGCATGGAACAGGTATTTTTCATCAAGTATTGATATGTTAAACTTTAAATCCCTACAGAAATGTGTAGTTATCTTAAATAAAACTGCTGTTTACAGATTGGACTGACAGAAAAGCAAACAGAAAATCATACAAGACAATATGATTATAAAATTAGAGTGCACCCAAATATAATTTGGCCCAATTAAATTATCATAACTTTTTAAAGTTTGCAATTATAAAATGACTAGTCAGAAACTTTTTAGGTCAATTAACAGATATTTCTTATAAGAGGAATGTAAAAAACCATGAAAGTCTCTTATCTATAGTTAAGCTATTTTAATCATCTATTTTGTTTTAATACCAGCAACTTTTGTTGAGGGAGCCTTGTTCAAGTTAGTGGGCACTTCCCCCCACTCTGAATCCTCTTCTTCAAAAACAAAAATTCCAGAAAAAGAGTGACCCTATGTACCTCCTCTCCACAGTCTGCTTCTCTAACAGGGACAGGACATAAGGGCTAATAGCTGATGTGGAAACAAGTGCTACAGGGAAAGGGGACAGCACAGGCCTGCTCTGGAGTGTGGGGATTTTGGCAAAGTGCTTTTCATCTTTTTTTTTTTTTTTTTAATTATTTCCTGTCTTCCACATTTAAAAACTAAATGTTCAGCTTGAATTTTGGATCTCCATGGGTTTGATGGCAGGAAATATGGAAAGGACATGTTGCTAATATTTGGTCTAACAATAAAAGAAACAACAATGGAAAAAAATAAATAAAATCAAAATTTTTATTTAACTTAGATTTTCCAACAAAAGCATTCTCACCTTTAATTCATTCTATTGTTTTCAACATGAAATACACTGAGAATTAAATATTAAAAGGAATAGTAAGTAGGAAAATTATAAAAGCTAATGTGTCTTTATTTCCATGTCAAATACAATTATGTCTAGATTCTTGGAAGTCAGGAATGAGAAAAAAGAAAGGAATTGGTAAAGAAAAAAAAAAAAACTAAAAATAAATCTTTGTGTTTAAAGAGAAAATTAGCAGTCACAGGAAAAGTTCTCTACCGTACCTTGAGATCTGTTCTTGCACTGTGGGTCATAGCAAGTCCTAGCTAGGTGGTGAAGAGTCTGCGTTTTCAGACACACACCGTGTTGCAGACAATAATGTGATCTGAACACAAAAGCGATTGTGGAGAAATGCCTGATGCTTTCTGTGCCTGCAGTAAACTTGCTCCAATGTGCAGAAACCGTTCCTTGCAGAAGGAGCTGGAACACGGGCATGGATCCATTTGTGTGCACCAGTTTGCCACCCATCTCCTATTAACTGTTGTCATCCCTGTAAACCAGAGAAAAGTGCAGAAGTTCAGCAAGGAAGTTTTCACTAAAATAATCCGTACGTAGATCAAAGGCCACACATACAGCGTCATGAATGTGTCATAGTGCCCGGAGACTCAGGTTATGCTTTCTGGCATTGGTGTGTTTGAAACTTCAGTGGGAAGTCTCTCAACCTGGCAGAAAACGGTGAATGAAGTTCTCATTTCTATTTTCTAAGACAAGGAATAATTTTGAAAGTACGCGGCAAGAGGTGGAGCGCTTGATGCAGAGGATGAAGTCCGCCAGCCAGGATTACAGGCCGCCCAGCCAGTGGACGATGGAAGGCTACCTCTACGTTCAGGAGAAACGTGAGTCGGGCGGCCTTGGCGGCCTTGGGGCCAGAAGGCTGCGTGCTGCTGCTCCCGGTGTGGCTCGGTTGATGTGTTCCTCGCTTCAGAGGGCCACAGTCCTGACAGCCTTGTCCTAGTTAGCGTAGCATCGGAGCGAGCATTTTCCTGTCACTACCATCACCTCCACTTCCAAAGCAAGGACGTTTTTCCAGTTTTGTCATGAGGTGCTCTAAGATGGGACTATCTTGCTGAACTTTGCCATCTTCACGGACACTACATGGCCTAAATTTAGTTTTAGAATTTAACTGTGACAACTCAATGTAAAGTTTCATGGAAAAATGAAAATCCAAGCCTTCGTCAAGTGAGTCAGTCATCCTGGCAACTGTAATAGTTTCTTCCTCCAGCAGCATTATTTCATTTAATTCTGTGTTCTGCCAATGTTCAGGACTAAATCGGCAATTATGTCATGTCACAGTGACACTCTTTACTTCCTGGGGTTAGAAAATAAGTACCAGGCCCCACAGAATACTATCCTAATTGCCTCGTGTTAACATTTTCTTCACAAAAATTAATAAAAAGCCATTCGGGCGAGTAAAACTGGGGTCCTTTCTGCCTGTTAGCTGTCATTAAGTAGCAGCGCTTTGAAGATTTTGAGTAAGTGAACTTTCAGTCAGGTGTACTATAAAAGCTGCTCTCGTACTGTTTTAAGGTCGCTTGTTTCTATTTTAGTCCATCTTGAATCAGTTCCTTTGTAAAGTACAAAATCATGTGGCTGTGTTGAATTGCTATGACGCTTGTTCTTGCTTTCTTTATTTTCTCATCAAGGCTTAAAAACTATGTAGGATAGCACTTTCGGAAGTCTCCATGTCTGTAGGCATAAGAGTAATAAAATGATTTTCTTTGGTAAAATAATATAGTCTACGGCTTATGGTAGGGAAGCCCGTGGACCCAGGCCTGGCTATGTGCCACGCACTCACGAACCAAGTGTGCACTTGAGACGCCTGAGTGTTGCTCAGTCGTTGAGGAGCTGTGTGCTGGCGCAAGGCAAGTGGGCCCTCGGCCTCGGCCCGCGTTCGGTACCCTGTGGTCTGCGTAGCAGGGGGATGCTGGGCCGGGAGGTGCGGGTGCCAGGACTTGCTCTGTCCCTTCCATCTGCTGTGGCCAGCCTGCTCTCTGCAAGTCTGGGAATGACAGACAGCACTAACCTTCCTAGCGACCCTACGCTCGGGCCATGGTGCCCCATTTCACCCACTCCCTGAGAGCTGCCATGTGACAGGATGTTGGGAGGTGCTGACATTTGCTTTAATGATGGATTTGGCAGAGCAGAGTGATTTCTTGGCAGGTTTCTTCAGACATGCAGTGGGGATAGAAGAGGTGCCATCCCTGTGTCTATAGCCTTTTATTACTTCTAGCCTAACAATGTTTTATTTAAGGGCTTTGTGTGCACATTTTATTTTTATTTTGTTTTATTTGCTTTTTTGAGACTGAGTCTTGCCAGGTATTTCCCAGGTGGAACCCAAACTTGAGATCTTCTGCCTCAGCTTCCTGAGTAGCTGGGATAATAGGCATGTGCCACCCTACCTGGCTGATTTTTACTTAAAAATATTTAGGCCTAACCAACAAATTTATTTTGAACATAATTTTCAAATATATCATATTTAATTGCTAACTGGTAGCCTATGCACTGGACAGTACCATAGCTTGCTTGCCTGATCCCCAGCTGTTGGACGTTTGGGTCACATGGTGTAGAAGCATAGGCCTTGGCCTTTAATGCCATATGGATCGCCTGGGTGGACTACATGCAATTCTCTGGGGGCTCCGCTAATGTTCATGTCTTTTGTTACAAGAGAACTGACTTTTCCTCCAATTGTTCTGATCATAGTGCTGACCTAACCTCCTAAGATTTTTGTGTGTGGTAATGACACCTCCACTTTGCTAAGCACAGAGCCGAAGGTAATCCTCAGTTCAAATCTGTGATGCGGAATCTGTTTCATCTCCCTGGTGTCCTTTAACGCTACCTCATCCGCAACAATTTTGCCTGGGCCAGACCTCTGCAAAACTTGGCTGTGCCTCACTGCTCCCACCCTCTGCTTTAGCCGGTGGCTCCCCACAGCCCCTCTGCACAGCACCGTGGAGACCCCAGAGCTCTGCCTGACCCTGGAGCTCTTGTGGTCGGACTCTTTCTTAACACTCTTTCTTATTACTCTTCCAACACAGTTTCCATCCTCACTTTCTCTGCTTCTGTCGGCGTTCTCTGTACAACTTTACTGATATGTAATGAGCATATAGCAAACTCCATTGGCTTGAATGCGCAGTGGAGTCCTTTCGCCATCGGTGTGCGCATCTGCCGCCGTCGTCACAGTACCACTCGATGGCCTCATCACCTTCGGTTCTCTCCTGCCCACTAAAATACTCCTTCTGGCTTTGCCCACCCTCTACCCTCCCGCTTTTCTTGCTGAAGGATTTAAAAAGAAAATGATTGTATATACATGCTTGAGAAATATTTTTCTGAGGGACAAATACTCAAAGCCTCTTCCAACTTGGAAGCTTTGGACGTATTTGTAATAGGAAAATCTCCCCACTAAATTCATGACAGTATGCTCATTTGCCATCACTGTGTGCTTGCCGTGGAGGGCCAGGAAATGAGGTAAAGGATTTTGTTTCAGGTTTGCCTTCCTAGCAGAAGACGTAAGATAAACTCACATGGTTGGCAACCAGTGATCAGTACTAAACCTGGGGGCTGTTCCTTGAGCAAATGGAGACGGAGAGAGAAGGAGCAGAGTGCTGAGCCTGGACGTAGAGCTTCCCTTTCTCCCCTGACGCTCTTGTCTCCCACTCTAGCAGTACAGAAGGTCACCTTGCAGTAGGTGTGAAATGGGAGGAGCGTGAGTTCCAGAGTGAGAACTTGGTTCCCAGTCCTTGTCTGTCACTGGTTAGCTGTGGGATTCTCGCCCTTTCATTCATAAAAGATAGATATTTATACTGATCTCCTAGTGATGTTGCAAAAATTAGAAACACTGTGTGTAAAATTTCTGTTTAATGGTGGAATTAGAAATGATAATGTGTTTACCATGGTCCCTTACTGTTTGGTACAATGTACATTTAACTCAATTTTTAAAACAACTCGGGGGCTGGAGAGATGGCTCAGTGGTCTAAAGCACCTACTTGGAACAAGCTTGGCAAAGCACAGGGACTGCGGTTCAATCCCCCAGCACCACATGCCAGCCCCGCCCCCTGGTGGGCTGAGCTGG